CTGTACCTTGTCTGTCTGTCTGAAGGCTGGCCTGCTGTACCTTGTCTGTCTGTCTGAAGGCTGGCCTGCTGTACCTTGTCTGTCTGTCTGAAGGCAGGATTGCTGTACCTTGTCTGTCTGTCTGAAGGCAGGTTTGTTGTACCTTGTCTGTCTGTCTGTCTGAAGGCAGGTTTGCTGTACCTTGTCTGTCTGTCTGAAGACTGGCCTGCTGTGCCTTGTCTGTCTGAAGACTGGCCTGCTGTGCCTTGTCTGTCTGTCTGTCTGTCTGAAGACTGGCCTGCTGTGCCTTGTCTGTCTGTCTGTGAGGGAGCTTTGTGACTCCGGGACCCTTTGCTAACTTTCGCTTTACAAGAAAGTCATGGGAAATCTTTCTCGGTGCCTGTGGAGGGCTATTAATGTCACCGTTTTAATTTTTGTTAATGGGCTTGGGGGGTGCCTCAGGCCTCAGGGTATACTGGTCATGTCCTGGAAGTGGGGGGAGATGCATGCATCACATTTTCTCCATTTATTAATAAATGTGCTTAAACCCCATTTCTCAGGTTACCTTTCCACTAACTTGTCTCTCCTTCCTCTCCCCAGCAAATCTGTACAATCAAAAGTGGACAACATTTTGGTGAGTGAGGAACGCCTCATTAAACTCCTGTGATAATGAACGTGATCAGGTGGGGGTGGTTCTCATGTTACCCTTAATCCTCTTTTTCTGAGTATACGCCAGTATTCTCTGGTCGAAAACTTCATTTCACCCTTTTATAATTTATGGTACCATCACGTGAGCCTTATTAGTAAAAGGCCTACTTTGTTTTTCCCTGATTCCTGTATCGATACAGTGTCACTTCTAGTGAACTTCTAGTGAATGCTTTTACGATTGATCGTGAACAGCAATGTGTTGCTAATATAGTGTGTGTCACTATATTTATCCCGTCACCAGCTAATGTATCCGTTATCTTGCTTTGGACGAAAGTCTGTGCTAAGTAAATATAAATGTAGCTGTTTCTGCCAGCCATCCTGCAGCGTCTGCACCTTTAAATGGCCCCTTCCCTTTTTTCTGTTTGTTTATTGCGGCTGCTGCCATTTCTTAATGACATTTACAGTCGTGTTTGGTTGGGGACCTTATGGAGCCGTGTGTGTGTGTTTTTCGGTATCTATCCGTCTGTCCTCTTTTCAGCCATTTGTCCTGAGTTGTCCTGTGACATTTGCTCAGACTTCCCTTTTCATTGAGGAATGAACAGAGGATCATTACACTGTTATTCCTGTCTTCTTTCTTTTGTCTCTCTCTCTTTCTGCCATCCCACATCGTTCAGGACAGTCTGATGTGACTGCCTCTTTAAACAGCCGCGCAGTGTCCGTGGGGGTCGATGAGGAAGTCAGAGACTGAGGCGGGGGTATGGTCTGCGACCTGTCTGCTCTAACTGCGGATGTTGTGGCTTTTGTTGACTCTTTTCTTTTGTACGTGTAACTTTGAAACCAGTTGTGCGCTCACATGGCCGAGGCCTGTCCATTTCTCGCTGTCCCTGTATCCACCCCAGGTACCCTAGAACTTTGGATGTTGAGTGTTTTACCGGACGCGGCTTGCAGGGTGCTCTCTCTTGCTAAGGGAGGTTTTGCTCCACTGATTGATCAGAACCACATTGCCCAGCACTGGTTAGGCTTTCAACCCCAGGCGGGGGACTGTAACGTGACATTAGTTGGGCTGAGGAATTGTGAATGACCCCCATCCCCTGACAGGCTCCTATGTGGCATCAGTGGCCGCCACCACTCATGAATCTCCCTTTGGTTGTAAAGCCCCTCCCCCTTTGAGCGCTAACCCAGCACCTCCACCCATCTTTATCTTTGATGTTTGAAGGCGATTTTTTAGTTTGCTTACATTTCTTAAATTTGGCCAATAACTAAACTGCTACACTGAGGTGTAGGTTCAGACTTACCTCAGACCTGTGTGGGGGGAAGGAATGTCTGCTGCCACAGTGCCTCTTCTGCATCAGCTGTTGATGTGTTCCAGCCTTTCTGTCCCCCTCCCTCACCCCCTTGCTCTCTCCTCCTCCCCCGCCCACCTGCCTATCTCCCTGTCCACCCCACTATCTGTTTGCCCATTTCTTTCTCTCCTGCCCCCCACCCTGCCCACCTGCCCGTCTCTCTCTCCTGCCCCCCATCCTGCCCGCCTGCCCGTCTCTCTCTCCTGGACAGTTGCAATATGAATAGTCATATTTCCCTTTTTTCAGTGTTTTAAATTTATGAATTAGAATTGCTTCCAAACTGTTGCGCAGTTTTATACAATTAAACATTGGCTAATAGCCTTTTTGAAAAAGTACACCAAGTGGGTCCCTTCTGAACTTTGGGTAGCAATCTTGGCTCCTTAACCACTGAACTACTGCTGCTTTATGTTGGGAATCTTCTCTCATTTTTTGCTGGTATTTCTCTCTGACCGACATCAGAGTAACATCTAAACACAGAGCTTGTGCGTTAACTACACTGTGCCCAAGATGGCAGTTTTGGCTCCATGGATCTCTGGAGACTTGTTAATTCCCATGTCATTAATGACTCTGTGAAATCCTACACTCATTGATGTAAAGATCTATACCAAGACAAACACTTAGCAAACTGCGCAAGAGATCACTTGCTAGGCAATGAGAGAACAGGACAGCTGAGTGGTCAGATTTTTGAGGTGTATTAAAGAGATGCTTTTGGAGGAGTCCTTCAGAGAGCAGGGTTGTAATTGAATCAGAGAAGTGAGGGAGGGTGTCAGGGGTCGGGAAACCTCAGATAAACATGCATTGCATTGTATGATTGAGGTGGGTGTCGAATTAAAACTCATTCATCCTTCGCCCCCACCTTATTAACGCTGATGGAGCAGATGGTGTTAGTGGTTATGGAGTCCCGCCCACCTGTCATTTGTCAGTGGTGACATTGTCTCCGTACATAAAATCCACATTGGCCCCCTGTGATTACAGAGCAGGGTATGAATTCTTCTTGCTCTAAATGTACCCCCCCCCCCCAAGTCCCTCTGCAGATTATAAACAACTAAAACTTGTGCTTAAGAAAATTGCATTTTGTCTTTACAGCAAGATGTTGAGAAGTTTACAGACATTGAAAAACTCTACCTCTACCTGAAGTTGCCTTCTGGTCCCAGCAATGGCAGTGACAAGTGGTAAATATCCCATGAATTGCCGCCGTCTGTCTTGGCCTTTTCCCCAAACTCCCGTCATCATGGATGTGAGAATCTCCACCTCTGCCTGCCCCTCCCCCACCCATCTCCTTTCAGTGTGATGTTGTTAAATATCCCTGGTTTGCTGCGGTATTCAGCCTGTCGCTTTGCTCGCTTGCTCGCCCATGCCCTTATCTTCCTCCAGCGAGCAGACCTCCTTGTTGTCCAGCCGCACGCAGCAGACACACGCCTTCAACTGGATCCAGAATCACTTAGAGGAGCATCCAGACACCTCCCTCCCCAAGCAGGAGGTCTATGATGAGTACAAGTGAGGACTGGCCGGGGGAGGACCTGTCGCTCTTCTTCATCACAGATCGGGTTGAATCGGGTTGAAACCTGCTAAACCACAACTTTCACAAGATGCCTGTCCACTGATGAATTGTAACTGGCATGGGATCTACTTTTAGGAAGCCTTCGAGCTGAACTCCTGAGACATTTAACATTCTGCTAACAATCTGTTAACAGTCCAAACTGAAATGCTGAGCGTGATCTGGTGGCAAAGTGACTCGTATTTTACTGTTCTCTCTTGCAGAAGTTACTGTGACAATCTCGGCTACCATCCTCTCAGTGCTGCCGACTTTGGGAAGATCATGAAAAACGTCTTTCCTAATATGAAGGCGCGACGGCTTGGCATGAGGGGCAAATCCAAATATCCTTTATCCTGATTTGTGGTTCATGGTGATCAGGGGCTTATGAGATGCTGGCCACTGTCTGTCAGTGTGGATGTCTATTGTCTTACCACTCGCTGTAATTTCAGTCTCAAAAATGTTTTGGAAATGCTTGCAGCTGTCCAGAAAGAAAGAAAGCAGTACTGATGTGTGTGCAAATAGGGCTTCTCCGCTATTGACTTAGAGACATGAAAGGGATCATTATTCATGGTTAAGAAAAAAAATGGGAATAAAGACCCACCGCAATCTGGAAAAATTGTGTAAACCTTTTTGGTCTCCTTACTTTCCTTGGCGAGTGAAGCGAGCATGCAAGTGGAGTGTAGTGAGGTGAAAATATATGAGAAATGCAAGATATAAAGATCACTGTGAGATATCGCGTGAGAGGCTTCTGTAAACGCGCATGGCATCCTCCAAACCAGCACTCTAGTATATTTAATGCATTTATGAGTTACTAAACTTATTGCGTGTCGTCTGTGGCTTTCCCAAAAACTCCCATTTGATTTCTTATGCCGACCCCACAATATATCAAAACCGCAGTTGGGAAAATCATAATGCAGAAGGTCGACTGTAGTGCTTTACTTTTATTTAGCTGGTTCTATACTAATCTATACTAATCCTTACTTGGTTCTATACTAATCCTTACTGCAGATTATAAGTAGTGCTACTTTTGTTGTATATAATCTTTTACTTAGCACAGTAAATTCAGGGTTTCAGCCTAAGTATATTGAAGTTACTTCTGTCATGGCACACAGACCAGGTAACAGTGCCCTATGGTCACATGTTCAGAACTGGCATGCATTAAGCTGCCATTTAGGATCAGTTTTGAACCCATCAGCCATTGCCAGTGACTCGCACCATGCCCAGCTGCCGTGATGTGCGTGGTCCAGTGTGTCCAGTGTTTGTGCCTGAATCAGCGACTGGTCTAAATGTGCTCACGTGTTCCTCTGAGGTCTCGCTGCAGAGATCTCGCCACCACGGAAACCATGCAGTGATGGTTTCTTCAGCTGTGTTGTGCGATACTCAGATGGGAGGAACATTTATGAAAAGAGCTGTGGCCGGAGGGTTTGGTGACGGACACCAACACCCTGCTTCCCCTGTTGCTGAGAAATACCCCTCCCTCATCCTGGCTTCTCTTTTCGCTAACTGACTGTGGCACCCCTAAACCAGTGGGGCAGCCCTTTAACAAAGGTCAAAGGTCATAAAGAAGTGGCTGTCTCTGGAATAGCACCATGCTAAAATTTTCTATTCGTTTTTTTTTTCTTGGAGAAAGCAGACTTCCTGTGACTACTTGAGTATGACCAGTACAAGTTCTTTGGGTGTGCTTTGAAATCCTAAACGGGAAGTTTCGTGTTTCAGAACTTCAGCATGGTGTGCGGGTCCTTAACTACATCATACATACTGCTATAGTGGATTGAGGAAAAAAGCCATGGTCCATGTGCCATCTCTGCCCAACCTGGATGTGCATAAAACAAGCGATGGGGTAAGTTATAATTTTCTGGCTTCTGTCCCCACTAAAGAAAAGCATGTGCTGCTCTTTGCGTACCTGAGAGCAACGGCTCATGATACTTGATCATCTAGCCCTGGTAGTACGTTGAACGCAACAAGTCAGGGTCATGTTGTGCCAGACTGCAGTAAAGCTGCTCTTGCTAAATTAACTCTATGCCCTGGCTTTCAACCAGCGCTGCCTTGTAAAGGTCAGATGTCCCACTCAGGTCCTCTTCAATAATGGCTTTTGGAATCCAGAATCTGTGTTTTGTGGTAGAACTTAAGATCAGCCTAGGTTAGAAAGCTGAACAGCTTCTGATTGAAGTGTTTGTCACGTAGGAAGTATTGGGAGGAGGGTGTCACTGCTCTCATTGGCTGGTGGAGGCAGCATTGGTATCCTGATTGGCTGTCTTTGTCAGTGTGAGGTGCTGGAGTCCTCGGGGGTGCCCTCTAGTGCTGAGGATGAGGTACGCCTGGCGGCCTGTGGCCTGGTGTGTGAGTGGGCCCAGAAAGTCCTGAGCCAATCGTTTGACTGCGTGGAGGACTTGGCCCGCTACCTTCTCAACAGCCAATACATCAGCACCAAGTCCATGGCGGCCCTCACACTCATGACGGGGACATCCACAGGTATGGGTCGGGCTCTTTCTGAGTAGAGGTCTGGTAGAGAATAAACTGGCATTATTTTAGGCCGGTTTGTAGGGGGAGTCTGGGTTACCTTGTATGAATGAATGGTTACCTTAGGAGATGATTAGGAGGCCAGATTTGAAAGGGCCACAGTGGGCAATTTTAGCCAGGACAACGGAGTACCACCCCTACTATTTCAAGCAGATGCTCAGGGACCTTTTTTGACCTCAGAGAGTCAGGATCTCAGTTTTATATCTCATCGAAGGGTGGCACCATTTTTACGGCACAGTGTCCCCGTCACTGCACTGGGGCAATGGGACCCGCACAGACCACAGGATGGGCCGACCTGCTGGCCACACCAGCACCTCTCCCAGCAGCAATCTAGCTTTCCTTGTCGGTTTCCCATCCAAATACTGGCCAGGCCCAAACCTGCTTAGCTTCAGATGGACAATGAATTCCAGTGTAGGGATTTAGTGTTTCATTGCAGTCGTCCATGAAGAAGTCCAGCGAGAGTCTCCCCTTGTTTTCTCCTCTCGGGGTCACAGGTGGCTTTTAACTGGGGTCTCTCATCTGGTGCTATTAGCTGTGAAAAGAATTAAAACATTTTTTTTATTCTTTTTCTTCTCCTTTTTCGGTTTTTACTGTTCCTAAGCATGCTTTTTTTCTGGCTGAGTAAATGTAATTCTTCTTCATGCAGGATTTCAGTGCTGTATCTTCCCCTAATTTGCTGCCCCCAGGTGGGATGAAGACGTCAGTGGAGTCCTGTCCCTTCGTGCCAGTAGATGATAGCAGGTCCTTCCAGCCCCAGGCAAAGACCTTGCCCTCCCCCACCGTTGATGCCAAGCAGCAGCTGCAGCGTAAGATCCAGAAGAAGCAGCAGGAGCAGAAGCTGCACTCGCCGCTGCCGGGAGATGGGCAAACCCCGACCCCAACCCAGGCTCGGAGGGCAGAGGCTGGCATACCCTGCGTGGGGCCCAGCATTTCCTGCGGAAGCCCCGCCCTGCTCTCCCCACAGCCAACCATCGGCATCGTTGTGGCTGCTGTTCCTAGTCCAATCACGGTAAGTCATACGGAGCATCAAGCAAGCGCTGCACAGCAGCCCATGGACGTACCTGTAAATGCTCAACACTTTATATACAAACTAGAACCTCATACATATGAATGTCCAAAAGCCTGGGTATATTGTTCTTCTTGGTTTGTTCTCGCAACCTATCTAAATGCTCGTGGCTTTTTCACTCCCTTTCCATGTAGGGACCAAGGACCAAACAGCTGACCTCTCCCAGCCCCATGGGTGCAGCAGAGAACAAAGTTGTGCCCATGAACTTTCATGTGGTTTCCCAGCCCATCCAGCCAGTAAAGCAGACTGCCAAGGCGTCCTCGAGTGTTTCCGGCAGCCCTGTGTGTGAGCGCATTCCAAACCGCTCCCGCTATCCCCAGATCCTCCCCAAGCCCTCTGCCGCCAGTGCCCTGACGCTGCGCTCCCCCCCGACGCTGCTTATCACCAACAGCCCCATTAAAACTGTGGTGCCCACGTCACACGTGGCCCCCGTCAATGTGGTGAAGATGACGGCCATATCCCTGCCGGCCAGCAGCGGCCCTGGCGGAACAACCTTGCGGCCTGTTTTGACGGGTGTGACCAGCACCGGGCTGGTGGAAGAGCAGCGCCAGCCCCTGCAGACCCACAACAGCAGCCAGCAGAGCCCCTTACGGTCCCCTGTCGCAACAAAGACTGCATGTTTGCCCACTGCCGCCACCTCCAGCACCAGTGTCAAGATGGAGCTTGAAGCCATAACTGATGATAACCGGGCCCCTATTGCCGAACAGCTGAACACAACTCAGGAAGCAGCCGGTGATCCGGAGGGTGTGAGGGGTGCTAAGCGAAGGGCTGCCAGTGAACCCACACCCTACAGCAAGGGAGCTCTGGGGCCTGATGGGGCAGGCAGAACCTCATGTGGTGAAAAGTTTCCCTTCAGTGCCAACACTGCGGCAGCTTCTGCCAGCAGCAATACCAACAGTAACAAAAGCGAAAATGCTTTATATCTAACGATCTCAAGCCAGAACACCACCATTGCTCTGTCGTCCCACCCCAACACCACTGCCACGTCACCCAAGGAGAGCTCTTTAGGGTCCAGGAGTCTGAGGAAGCGCTCGGGTGCTGGTTTGGAATCAATGCCAGTAAAAAAAGTGTTTATTACCCAGCACCCTGCGAGTGGTGCCGAAAGCCCCAGTGATGCATCAAAGATGGCCCCCCAGCCAGGGACCCCCGCCAGGCCTGAAAGTGCACCAGCAACAACCACTTGTAAAGTGACTGTGAAACTGAACTCCACTGTACCGACTCGAATTCTCGCTCGCTCTGATTCGCCCCTTGGAAATCCCAGCATCTTCCAGACTGTTGCAAAACTGCAGGCCAGCCCGCAGCTGAGAGGGGAAGGGCTGCCTTCGAAGAGCGAGGACAGTGGCCTTACTCCCAGAGCCATTGCCTGCACCTCCAGTCAAGCACTGTTGAAAGAAATTGCCAGTAGTTCATCAGCCATGCAAACCAGTTTGGCCTTAACAGACACCTCCATCATGGATGAGTTGAAGAACCCCATTTGGGAAGAAGGACGGCTGGGTTGTCTTCAGCAGCAGGCTTTTGTGCATCAGATGCTGGACCATAGGTCTACACCAGTGATGGGTCAGCTGCCCATGGAGCCCCAGGCCCCTCCCTCAAATGAACTGACACTCCACCCGGATGTTGAATTTACTGGGCACCAGCCCAGTGTGGATTATTTCCCATTCAATGATGATGACATGACCCAGGACAGCATTGTGGAAGAGCTAGTACAGATGGAGGAGCAGATGAAGCTGAACAGCCTGCGGTCGTATGGCAGCTGTGTCGATGCATCTCTGCAGAGCCAGTCAGCAGCAGGGCCGGGTCCTGTCCTGTCCTGTCATCAGACGGACGTTGCTTTTTATCACTCTCTTCACAGCAGCACCACTCCCACCCTCACACCTACACCGACTCCTACGTCGGAGATGATGGCAGCGGGGCCTGGCTTGACCCGGGAGAGCCCTTGTTCTCGGCTGGCACCCGCCACTCCCGTGGATGGGGCTCTGGGCAGTAATCGGCACACCCCTGTCAGCACCCCACACTCGAACTGCAGCACTAGTGTCCCCCCAAGTCCAGTGGATTCCTGTCGGAATCCCTTCGCCTTCACACCCATTAACTCCAGTATTATCGGCTACCACAATGCCAGTATCGTTTCAAGCAGTCCACGCAAGCCAATGCAGAGGCCCACGGCTACTCACCCCGACAAGGCCAAGCTGGAGTGGATCAATAACGGGTATAACAGTGATGGAGGTACCTCAGCCATCTCCAACAATGGCATCAGCATCCTCTCAAACTACCAGAACTTGGTGGAGGACCAGTTCCGTAAACCGCACGCCTTTGCCATCCCTGGCCAGTCACATCAATCACAAGCCAGGCATGATACCAACTTTGGCCGTCTGACACCTGTTTCCCCGGTTCAGCAACAGGCCACGGTTGTGACAAAGGAGGAAGGCTTCGCAGTTCCTGCTCCTCTGGATAACAAAGTCATGGTGTCATCAGCCGGTGGCACCTTCCGCTGTCGAAGTGTGAGCCCGGCGGTACGGCAGCGGAATCTGAGCGGGAGCACGGTCCACACCAGCATCTCTGGCTCCATGCTCTCCCAGTTCAACTCACCTGTGACCCCTGAGGTGCTCAACATTTTTGCTAACAGCTGCCCAAACATGGACAGTAGTAACATGGCCCAGAGGAGCCAGTCGGTCCCACTTAATGTGATGATGCAGACTGAGATGCTGCCAGTGCAGACCACTAACAACAGCACGAAGATCACAAGCGTGCTGCTGAGCAAGATGGATCCTGATGGCGATGATGCTGTCCGGGGTTTGGGTGTCAACAACATGCCTTCCAACTATACAGCCCGTATGAACCTCACCCAGATCCTGGAGACCACCAGCACTTTCCAAGGTGGCACTGGCCATCAGAGCCTCCTCAACACGAATGCCAACCACAATCCCAGCCAGTTCCAGAAGCCTAGTTACCTCATGAAGAACGCCAGGAACGAACAGATGAGCTTATACTCCAGAGGTAGCCAGGCACAAGTGAGTCCTGAAGAGCAGCAACCAGAACTGCAACAGGGGCAGCCTCTGCAAAATGAGCAAACCCAGCTAGAGGCCACATCTGAAAGCCAGCAGCCTCTGGATTTTGACAGCACTGTCAAGGACCTTCTAGGGGATGATGCATTGAACCCTGGTTCCCAGCTGACGGGGCAGATGGTCTCTGAACTCACTTCTGTGGCATCTGATTTCTCTAGTGATATCAGATTGACCTCTGAACTCTCCAGTAGCATCAATGACCTGGACACTAATTTACTTTTTGACCCCAGTCAGCAGCAGGGACAGTATGAAGATTCTACACTGGAGGAACTGAAAAACGATCCCCTTTTTCAGCAGATCTGCACTGAGAACTCTGTTAACTTTGATTGGCTGGAGAGTAAAGACCAACACACAGTGGAAATGTTGGGTTGATGCTTGGTTTATTTTATTTTTAGGTCTTTTTTTGTTTTTCCTGATCTTTGGTAACAGTTATAGAGCACACTGCAACAACACTCTGCACACCAGTGAGACACAACAGCCAGATCTCAGATTGTTGTTCTGATCAGTGAATGACATTGCTGTCCTGGAGATATGTTGCAGGAGTTAAGTGCAGTTTCCCACTCCTTTTTCACTTTCTTATTTCTTTCTATTCTTTCCACCTTGGAAGGAACCGTATGTCTCTGCAGTATTTTAAACAAATCTTCAAGCTGGTCAGACTGTTACTCGGACGTCTGACGTATCGGTGAGTTGCAGAAGCATCAGACAGAACCCAGTGGCTCTAACTGAGGGAGCGACTTAAACTGAAACCTCATATAGGGGAAACGGAATCAGTTTTTACATATGTTAAAACCATAGCTTCTCTCGTTGCGTCAGTTTCTCGGTTGAAAGGCTGCCATCAGAATGCAGGAAGACCCTCCCTCGCTAGAGTTCTCACATCCGTGCAGAAGAGAGAAAAAAGCTTGGTGCTTCACGGGAGGAGCATATCAAAATAAGTGACAATATTGTGTGGTGGCTTAGTCATAGGTAGTTTGTTGTAACATTACTGTGTTTTCAAAAGGGAAGAGCTTGTTTCCCCCTCCTAAACATTTGGGAATCTGCTGTGAGGCCCTGTAGGTGATAGATGCCTTCTGTGGAGCCATGACTGCAGACTCTGCAGACCTAAAGGTCGAGGGTCACATGCGGTGTTGGGTGTGCAAGCCGAAACCTCCACAAGTCTCAGTGATAGACGGTGGCTAGAATCTGCAATGAGATGCAGGCTGCTTGTTTTATGCGTGTTAACTGAATGGTTAACTAGGGAAGGAATTTCTGTGACTTCACGTCGGTGTACCTGGTGTGAGGAATACAGCTTAGTGTTTTTTTTTTATTTTAGTTTTTTTTTTTATATAAAAATGCAAATGCTATACATACTATTTGGGGAATCAAAGTGTGTTCAGTAGCCCAGCTTGTAAACAAGTGGTTTGGCTGTTGTACGATAGAAAAAAATATTAGATGTTGCCCACTTGGCACCAGAGAGGCTTTATGGAGGCCAAAGCACATGCTGTCTATGACGGAGGTAATTGGGGATAAGCAATGTAAAATGTCCTCTCCTTCTTTGGTGGACAGTTAATTTCTTGATGACTTTGTATCTATGCAGGTCTGTGTGACAGATGAAAGCCCCTCTAATTCCTGTCAGATGGTGGCTTTATGGGTCTTGAATGTTTATCTTCAGCGTTTTACCGCATGATCCATTGGTCTAAGTTATTACAGAATGGTCTGTAAGAATAAAATTCCAGATCTATGTAGAGATTATTGCAAAATTATAAAGGTTGCAAAAAGGTTTATGGTACAGAATGTGTCCCGGGTCTACATGGGTGTGAAAGGCAATAGAATTCAGAGAAATCAGTTGGTGTTACATAAACATTTCATGTTCGGGGGGGCAGTTGGCTGAAATTCAGAGCAAACAGACAATCCACTGCTTTTCTGATCCATCAATCAGCTCATTTCAAGGAGCCTGTTTTTCCATTATTTTTTTTTCCTTTTTTAAAAAGGAAACCAAGTTAATGATACAAAAGTGAAACATTTCGGATGAGGGCAGCATCGGTCGTAGTGCTGCCCAGTCGACCCTCAGCTTCTTTAGCCCGCAGTCAGTCTTGCGATTGGTTGCACAGTTGCTTGTCTCATGCATGGGTGGCACCGTGTAGAGTAGGCGGTTTTGGTGTAAAGAGCAGAAGCTCACATTTTGAGATTCCAGTTACTTTGGCCAAAGCGGGGGGAGGGGGGATCTGTGAAATGGGACTAGGTGCTCTGAGTCCTGCGGTCGCATGGGGTCGGCAGTGGACAGATGCTGCCTTAGTGGCATTTAATGAGAATCAGCCTTATGTTGTTACCAAAGAAAAGCTGTTCAAGTCAGCATGACAAAATGAAATTTTGTTAATTACATTGACCCTCCCACCCAAAATGCATGTTTTAAGGTTTGCAGGTTTCTAAACCTTTGATAGGCACGGTTGTGGTGGAGACTTCACTGTGTCAGAGGAAGGGGAGGCAGGACGGTTTGACTCTGTGGGGCTGAGATGGTTAAGCATGACAGCTCCTCTGTAGCACTGGGAACCAGGATTTTATAGGCAAGCTGACAAGCCCACACTACTCTTATGGTTTATGAAAACATGTAGCAAGACAGACGTTGCGCAAATTTTGTCGACTGTTGCTTTAATTCGTGCTATTCCTTGTTGAAGCTCTCTTTGTAAATACCACTGGTAAGAAAATCCAGTCTTGCAGGACACTGTGGCGTTATGAAGTCGTCTGCATTCAGAATCATCTGTGCACCTTCCAAAAATATTACTCTGTCGAATGAGCTGGGTGACTCGCTCCTGGCTTTTTTGCACCTTTACTTGGAAATGTCCTCCCTCCACCCACCCCCCAAAATCCTGTAAAAATATGTCTTCTGCCCCAATATCAGGGCTGTGCTCTGGACTGAAGACAATAGCCTGACAACTGTGGAAAGAAGCAGCTTTAGGTCAGATTAGGCTGCACATCTTTCTGTGCTGGAGTGTGGCAGCAGACACTGGAAAATCACTTCAGATCTAATTGAGCTTCAAGAGGTTCACACTATTGCACTAAACTTTTTAATGAACCAGGGCATCATTTTTTAGGACAAATGCAACAACTGAAGCCCGCAGAAAAAGTATTTTTTATAACAAGCTTAAAAAATTTGAAAATGACGTTTATATATCTTGTGTAGCAATGTGCTTTAATCTCAGTGAGATAAGTCCTTCACTCGTTCTCATACATGAGAATATAAACTCGATTTAAAATTTTTAAAAAATAAGGTATTAGACATTTCCTTAACCGTGTTGATAAATAATTATTGATGTGCATGTATGTCCGTTCTCTTGTACAGAATATTGTTTGTAACCACTTTCTTTGCCTGTAATGAGTGGTTCTGTCAACCACAAAGGTATAGCTAACTCAAAAAAATCTGTTCTTTGATGTTTACTAATATCAGTTCTTGTTCTGTTAATGCCTATTTGCTTTTTAGTGTTTTAATGAAAAGGATGTTTTTATGGCAAAGTTCAAGGTATTTTTTTTCCTGGAGAAACCATTAAATAAGCACTGATGTCTGGACTATGAAGAAAATACTCTGTTTGTGCTACTCCTATGCTGTCCGACTCTGACCCGCTAGTACCTCCACACAGCCCTTCCATTTGACATGTAGAACTTCACACCATGTTGTCAGTGTTGTCGGGGATACAGCAGACCGTAGTCTGGTGATTTTTTCAATGGCATTTCAGCAATGTTTCTCTTTGATTTCTTTTTTTTTTTTTTAACGGCAAGTGCTCACAGATGTTGAGATTTTTAAAAGTGGTTTTAAAAACCAATAAATTTTTTAAAATAAGATGGCTGTCCCTGTTGTGCCTGATCTAACCCCCCAGCGTGTTTCTGGTTGTCGTCTAGCAGAGGTGTATGTCCCAGCTGCTGATACCATGAAGGACACTTTGGAGCTTCCTCATCTAGCATCTGGTCCATTTCTTGGCTTTGTTTCATGGTTTCCATAGTAACACCCTATACCCTGTCAAATGAAAAAAATTTGTTTAGAGTTAATTGTGAAATGGGTATCATGACTGCACAGCTCACAGCTCACAGCCTTGAAACTGGGCCTTCGACCCCCCTCACACACACACTACTACCATCTTCTTTCTCAGATCCGTGGGTTTTCTCCTGCAGTGCAAAGACATGCAATAGCCTCCCCTCCCCATAGTGTGTGTGTGTGTGTGTGTGTGTGTGTGGGGGGGGGGGGGGGGGCTGCCTCTTGTCCTGTGCTGCCTGGGATAGTCCTCAGACCCCCCTCAACTTGGTATGTGGTTCAAAGGTGGACAAATGATTATGAAATGTTCATCATGTTAAACATGCTTCCCTCAAAATGGTACAAACTTGGTGCCAAAGAACATATAATATTGTGGAAGATAATTTATGAGATCGTTTAATTGAGTTACCTCATATTTCACACGTGTCTGAAAAGGCCTGCCTACCCGAAACTGGATGCACCTGAGACTGTGATTTGAATGGCTGATACATAGCGCCCCCTAGTGAGTTTTTGTATTATTTATTCTATGCATTGACTTGACTGTTAAATATATATTTTGTTGAATACTTCCCATATGCCTGCAAAGGGGTTCTACAGATGTTTTTTGAAAATATAATTTTATCCTAAGAATCAGTCACTGTCCTGTGACCCAGTTATGGGGCCTTTTTAAGTGCGAATGTCTAACCGCAGCGCTGAATGAGACACAGAAATGCCGCAGAGATCTGTTGGCTTTCATGGGAATGACTGAACCACGCCCTTGATGTCACCACATGGGTTGATATATATATATGTATATATATGATTATGATATATACAGAACTTTCAGGTCTAATAAACAGCTCTTCGATTCTAATCATTGTTACTACGTTTGCTGGAGAATGTGAACAAATAGTACTATCTAGGAGACCATATACCCAAATACATGGGTGGATTATGGCTTGGGGGGGGGGTTAGGGGCCCCGAGCGATGTCCCCCATCTGGTGAAGGCGGTCCTTGGCCATTTTTAGATGAAATGATCCCAGTTACGGCAGTGCTAGTTATTTAAGATAGCCCTGGGCTGTCTTGGATACTACACTGGTTTTGACTAATTGTGGTATTTGGGGCCCCATCAGTTACCTGGGGGGGGGGGGGGAGCCTTGTTCCCCATTCGTGAAGACAGTCTGTGACCATTTTTAGATGAAATCTTCCAGAAAATAGGGCAGTGCTACTTGTTTTAAGAAGGGTCAGAGCTGGCAGGAACATGTGGTGTGACCAATTGGGGGGGGGGTCCTCACAGCAGCACCTAGCTGTCTAATAATTTACCTTTTTCCATGAAATATTGTACCAGCAAAATTTGCATATTTATCACCACATTACTGTACTTATTTTCATAAAATAATCGTATGATCACTCTTTATTTTTATATAGAAATGGTTGAATGTGGTGCTGGTATGTGTGTATTTTTTTTGGGATAATAAAAGTATTCTGATGATTCTGATGACTCACTAGAGCAGCATATAACAAGTAATTCATATTGATTTCAAATCCTACTCATCTTTTCCAGGAAACAGTATTTATTTATTTTTTTGTTTGTTCATTTTGATCGATTTCCAGGAGTTCATGCAAGTAGCTAAAATGTGCAGCAGCAACACCAGCTCATCGAATGTAAAGTTGTACAGGGAAGTGTGTGTCAAAAGATATGTTTCCTATAGATTTGCGCTCTGATAGTTTTCATAAACAGGAAGGAGGGAGGAACTACTCCGAACTTTCTAAATGTCTGTTTCCTGACCCGCGACCTGCCGTGAATGTGAACCTCACAGTGATGGAAGAATACCGTGGCTTCACAAAGCGGTGTGAAAAAATAAGCAACTCTAGACCCCAGACATAAATGGACATTTGCTGTCCTCAAAACATCAGTTTTTATTAACTGAGTTAAATGAAAATTCACCTCTGACTTCATTGTACAGGGGCATAGGACGTTTAAGCAACAATCAAATATACTTTTTAAACAGAGGGGTTCAAAAAAGCAAAGAATAATATTTACCCCGCCCTCAAATATAATAAAACCGCCTAGAGAGTCATTAGATCAGGGGGCGCAAAACAGCGAGAGAAGAAAATCATAAGAAACACCTCTGGGTTGCATTAAGTGTCATTACAATTATTAACACTAGTTGTAATATTCCACTACTTTTGTCGTGAAACAGACACTTGCTAGTTAGTTAGCAGCCAGATACCCAGAGCTACTGAAATGTTTTAACATGAATGAAATGAAAGTTTCCTTCTGCTCTGGGGGGAGGGTGGATCTCTGCAGGACATCAAGGGCCAGTCCTGGAAGTAAAATAAAATCAAAATGAATAAATAAGACAAAACGATGTACGAACTGCCCAGAGCCTTCAGACAGCAGGGCTAATTCACACAGTAGCTGATCTTGGCATAACTGAGTCCGGCATGCCGATCGGGGAGGGGGGGGTCCTCAGCACCGTTTACGTTTATAATAAGAATAATAATTGTTCCGGTGGGGGGGGGGGGGTTGCATTGTAACTGATTATCCCGGCCGCCCTCCCCGGTCCCTGACCTTCTTACCCGGCTCGCAACCTCGCACTCCTGCCGCTGGATGTACCGGCTCCGACGGCGTGACTGCGAGCCGGACCTGGGCTCCGGTCGGATTAACCAGTCCGCAAAGCGGGGGCGGGAACTATGCGATACGAGAAGGCAGGATGGTGGCGAGCTGGGCGTCGGTCCCGCCTTAAAGTGGACTGGTGGATGTGCTGGGACGGGGACGGGCTTGGGGACGCGTCGGACGCCTCGCCGCGCTGTTCCTCGCTTTCCCTGCGTGTGCGGCATCGGGAGCGGAAGAGACGATGGCCGCGGTGCCGCCCGGGATCCAAAGTCTGCACATCGGCGAGGTACCGGCTTCATGAAGCAGCTCTGCTCCCGCAGGCGCATCCCCCCTCACTACAGCTTTCCTTAGGATAATCTGTCTCGCCGGCAGCTTTTCCTGTTTATTTATTTATCTCCTACAGTATTTTATATTACCTAACTGCCCGGCAATACCCGCAGGCGTCCGCCAACTAGGTTAACTAGTAGCTTGCACGCATCGCCGCTTTTAACGCCTTATGTTAAATGGGTAACTATGAATCTGCAGCGGGACGGTGTGCGGAACTAGTATAAGTGGCCGGGTTTGTGAGGTTAACATCTCATGCCATGCGCTAACCAGCTAACATTGGTGAGATTTCCAGCTGAGCAGTGGCGGCGAGGCGGGGTGTTTAGGTGACCGATGTCCTGCTATTTAGCAGACTAGTTAGACTAGTTGGAGGTGGTCAGACAGCCGAGCCGGGCTGATGGGCGTGTGACTGCCGAGGCCTGACTTCACTGCCTTTACACTTCTGGGTCTTATTAGACATTATTGCCGCCTTCATCCCGTTAGTCACTGAGTTAAAGCCCGGATTCGGGCGGACCAGCGGACCATGTGCCGCTGCCGAGCCCCTTTGCTGATGCCAAGGCAAAAGCGAAGTCTAGCATTTGACTTTTTCTCTCTTACGTTGGTGTTTGGCCGCTCCGATTGCGATTTGCTTGTTATGAAACGCGGTGACCCCCCCCCCTGCTCGTCGCGTAGAAACAGGAAAATCGCTTTTCCATTAAAACCATCTCGTGTTTCATTTCCAAAGAAAATGGATGCAGCTTCCGATATGAGCTGTTTTCACTTATTAGTAGGAGCTGCTCGATCGATCGGCGCTCCGCCTGTCATGATGCCCGGTAACAGTGCGGTGCCGGAGCCTGACAGCCGCCCATGCAGTGTGTCCACGGCAGCTGGACTTTGCTCCTTGTTTAAATACCACCCTCTTATCGAAATTCGCCTGAATTTTCACACGTGTGCTTTTTTTGTGTGTCTGCCTGCTTATATAATTTGATTTGTAGGCTATGTGTACTGTGACTTTGCAGGAAGAGTCCAGGATCTTAAGGGTAGAGGTTATGTCTGGGATTGGACTGGCGAAGAAGGACATTTTCGGAGCCAGGTGAGCATCTTGGATTTCTTGTTAATCACTCTGGATTTTACTTGGCCTGTGTATGATGCGGCCTCATCGATGTTGCCTCCCAGTGTTATAATGTGTGAAAATGTATTATTTAAGTTACTTAATTAAGAAAGTGAGTTGTCTTCTCTGTACCTAACCTCTTCCCAATGAAATTCACATCTGTTCATACACCTAGTCAATAATCTCATCAGTTTTGTGCTAAAGGTTGGTTTTGATTAAGGCCCTCAGCTTCAGAGTGAGATGATGGTGCTTTTGTGGTGCTTGGGTCTGTAATGGAGCCTGCAGACGCATTTACACAAAACAAGGCAACCCACTGATCTAAAAGCAGGCATGTCACTGTAAATTGTTTATGAAGTTTTGTTTTGTACCTCAGATGTGTTTCAGTGTGTTGCCATGTCTGATTGTTTATTTGACTTTATACATGCCTTATTCTGGATCAATATAATAAGACAAAATAAGATAAACTTTATCGATCCCGGGGGGGAAATTCATTCGCATTCATTCGCATTCAAGCAGCGATGGAGTGTAAAGTGCACAGACAATACAGTATTGTTCTCTAAGGCACTAACATCATTAATGTACCCCCAATGGTACAGACATGTTCCTCAGAGTCCATTTTCTGTACCTTAAATTAAAAGGTACATTTACCCTCAGCTAGGATGCAGTTGGCAGAGCCTTGAGGGTACAGCTCCAGTGACAAGTAACTGTCCCCTCAAAGTTACAAATTGGTACTTTTTTCTGACGGGGTAGGACACTAGGAACCTATTTGTATGTCTTAAAGTATATATTACACCGGCATTGTGGGAACCCCCCCACTTGGCATATTTTACCAATGGCACCCCTCCCACCTTGCCACCCGTTATACTGGTTTGTGAAGTTTTTGTAAACCGGTCTGTAGACATCAAGGTTGTAAACTCCTATCTTTTCAGGTCCAAAAAGTGTTAAAATGTGCAGGTCATTGATTTTAAATTTTAGTCTTTTTCCTTCAATTTTTTCCCGCTCTAAATAAACTGTGGGCTTCATATCATTTGAAATTTGCATTCGGAACAAGGTCCTTGCATTGCTCTGTCCAGTGTGGCCTGTAGGTGGCACCATTTTAATAACTGCCCAATCTTGCTAAACTGCATCTCTGGTTTAAAAAACTCACGGCTGTCATGGGTGTGAGTTTGGTTTCAACATTGATTTGGATTCAGCATCAATAGGGACCAAATCACCCCCCCCCCCCCCTAAACACACACTGTACTCCCACAGTATTGGTATTGACCAAGTCAGCCCCGAATGCCCTGCCTCCTTAAGTGAGGACATGTCTCTAATGTAAATACTCAAATCTACTCTCTTGGCTCTTGTATTTTCCATTCGCATCATATCATACATGGCAGTGTCTTAAAACAAGATATCTGCCTTGGGTACACAAGTACATTTCTGTGGACTGATATACACTTAGTGGTGCAGATTTTCCTTTGTGAGCGCCAAGTCGGACTCTACTGCAAACCCCAGGTTAAAACAAACCGTATGCAGAAATGAGAGCAGCATTCATGGCTGAAGGTAATGATGCATGTCAGGAGGTATGAGGTTACCGTACTATATTGAATACGAGAGACTTTTTTTGTATTTTGCACAAATTTGTTACATTAAAGTAATCTTATATGGGTTAATTGTAGAAGAAGCATGGTAATTTGGCTTAAATTATGGGTAAAGTTGCTCTCATTTCTGCTGCACTTAGTGTAGGACAGGAAGACTGATGAATTGTCTTCCATTATGGCGATTATCAGGAAACGCATACAGGAAAGCAAATTATAGCGATGGAGGAGGATGACGTAGCTGGGATGTGGAACCGCTGATGTGCCTGAGGTGCAGGGGGCAGCAGTGTCACCTCAGATTGTGGGGGGGCTCTCTCCCAGCGGGTTGCAGGTTTGAGAGCCACTAGCAGCCCAGAATGCCGCCATCAGCCCGGCCATCCTGGGGCAGACGGTGTTTGGGTTTGCAGCTGTATACAGTGTTCTGTGGTAACCTTAACGCGGTAACCCAAACGAGCGTGCCATGCAGCCCCAATGTGCCAGCCGCACACTCACGCACTCCCAAAGTGTGACCGTGCACTCCCAAAGTGTGACCGTGCACTCCCAAAGTGTGACCGTGCACTCCCAAAGTGTGACCGTGCACTCCCAAAGTGTGACCGTGCACCAAACTGCTCATTGAATTTGGTTTCCCCTTTTTCTCCCTCAGTGATCCATACACACGTGTCACCTTATACAACCCCGTAAATGAAGAACGTGTAAGTGTTCAGACGAAAACCATTAAAAAGGTCAGTCGCTCATTTATTTATGATTTATTAATTAATTTAATATAGATGCACTCTGTTGAAATGCTGTTGATTTATATTTAACGGTTAAGAAACGTAAATGCATTGTGCTTTCATTTTTTTTCTGTCCAAGACTCTAGACCCAAAGTGGAATGAAGAATTCTACTTCACAGTAAGTGATAAAAGCTGTTAGAATGCCAGATGTGGCGCTGCCCACACTGAGGAATGCGTCATGCTACAGCCGCTTCCTATTGGCTCACCGCAGCGTCCATCACCCGTTATACTCTGACCTGATTGGTGGTCAGCACCAAGTCGCTTTCTGGGACACCGCTTAAAAGGAAGCAGTCATCAGCTTAGATTTCCTCGCAGGGGGATGTAATAACAACTGCGTGCTTGGTGGGGGGAGTCGGAAAGTCTGTGCTTGTGGTGCCCGGAGGGGCCACATACGTGCAGCCTGCTGCGTGCTGCTTCCTATCGTGGTGTTTTGATGTCCGTGGGGGACTCTCTCGCTCTCTGGCACTCTGACGTCATCGGGCCTCCCCAGGCAGTGGCTGCTCTTTCGGAGCTCCTGCCCTTTTCTCTGGGTTGCGGTGGCCTTTTGCTCCTGCTGCCTCGCCGCCGAAGGTAGCTTGTGCCGCTCAGCAGGGTAGCTCTCCGACTGGCACGATCTCTCCTGTGCCCGTCTGCTGAATCACTGGGCTGTGCCCATGCCGCATGCATCTGACCGGCTCATGGGAGCGTGTGATCTCCTGGGGGGGTGTAATATTCATTTAGTACTGATGTGGGATGACTTCTCCCCCCCCCCCCATGCTATTTAATGAAAGGATGTTGCTTTCCAAGGAAGGTCAGCTTACAGGCTAATGGAATAGTTAGTGCCTTACATGCACATGGTTATATAAACGGCATCTAATCAGGGTCATGGGCGTAAATTTCAATTAACAGTAGGGGGGGACAACCCTCGGATAGGGGGGGACATGTCCCCTCCGTCCCCCCCAGGATTTACGCCCATGATCAGGGTGTATCCTTTTCTCAATGATTTGTCCAGCATCCTCAGGCCCCTGTGAGCGATGAGTAATGCCGTAGTAACACTGGAGTAACGACAGCAGGCCAATGCGGTCGTGTCTGTCTGCTAATGGTGGATGTTGACCCATGGAAATCGGTGACCCCTTGCTCCTGCCCGCTGGCCTTTCGTCTGTCTCCATCCTCCCGCCATCGTGCCTGATGCTGGGGGGGGTCTAGCTGGAGCCTCCCTTCTGAAATGCGCTGACACGCCTGTGGCTGTTAGAGCCGCGGGGGGGGGGGGGCACCTGCCTCAGGGTTATTTGCAGCGTCGGTGCACCCCCAGGCGCGTTGTAACCGGATCAGGCGTGGGTGCTGGCTGCTGCGGGTGGGGGGGGCACTCCAGTGTTAAGCTGGGGGGGTGTGAGGGTGGCCGGGGTTAATTGGCCGCTGATGCCGGGTGTCTTTTTAGGGACTATAGAAACGGGCAGCGACTCGCCTAGCCTGCTCATCATGCAGCTCTGCTCACCATCATGGAGAGCGCCACCGTGGGGGGGCCCCCATCCCAGCAGGGGCACCTATCTGCATGGGAGGTGTGTGGGGCCAGTGATCACATGATCAGACTCAGAGACCTGATGCTGTGAACATTTCCAGTTTATTCACTTTGCATGTCCCCTTAGAACGCGGGGAAAAGTCTGACAGGCGCACAAGTGCATGTTCTCTATTCTGAATTTAATTTTGAATTTCTGCTTTAGCACTTAAATCTTGTGTCCAAAATAATTTGCTGATATTTATTCTATATTCTTTGCACCGTTGTGCCTCATCGTGGGTTCTTCACCATTTTTTTGTGGATGAAATGCTGCTAATTGTCCCTAAAAATAATAACGATGATGCAGTGTTTATAAACGCAGTAATAGTGACGCGGCGTAGCCTGCGGGCGGTGTGGAGCTGGCAGGTGTGTCTCTCTGAAGCGCGTCGGGGACGCTGCCCTAGCTGACCAATCTCCCATCCTCTCCCCCGTCTCCAGGTTCATCCGCGGAAGCACCGGCTGCTCGTGCAGGTGTTCGACGAGAACCGCTTGGTAAGACGCAGCATGTGTTTTCGACGTCTTCCCCTCCCCCTCCTCCCCATGACCACAAGATACAAACTGCATGTCGCACATGAAGGGAGGCGGCGTTTCCCATGGACATGCACGTAAACAAAAACAGAAATGGGTGTGAGGAATGGCGTGTGGATCTCTCGCCAGGCACGGGCCAGATTTAAGCCAGTCTCAGCTTAGTGTCACAGCTTTGAAAAAGAAGCAGCCGGGTCAAAGCATGCAGGGTAAGAGGTCCGTGCAAATCGGCAACCTCTTTGTTCACTATGATGCTAAAAATGTGCACGTTTTTAAGGTGGCAGTGACTCTTCTAGGCTTTCATGGTGAATATTTTTAGACGTTGATTTGTATGAAGGTGTATTCCCTGCAGCTCCGCAGATGAACACCAAAATGCATCTTCGGTATTAATAGATGTTTGAGTTACCGGAGGGCCAGGCCTCGTGATGTCAGCAGCGGTGCCAGACCTGTGCGGAGCCCAGAGCGAGAGATGCTGGGGGCCGGATGTGTGCACGTGCACGTGTACGTGCACGTCTGAGGCGTCACCTGATCCCCATTCTCTCCAGATTCTGTGTCACAGGCGCGGTGGTCTTGCGCTGACTTGTCTGCCGTGGACCCCCACCTGTGCGAGGAGCTGGCGTCCCACTGTGTTTTGGGGGGGGGCTCATGTGGCATGCTGGGTCACACCCTCCTGCTGAGTCATCTTCAGCTGGCGCCTTTTTTAGGGGTTGGGGGTGGGGGGCACGGCTGGTAACTCCTGGGTGTGTTGGGGGAGTGTTGTGTCACTTTGAAAGCCTCCTCCCTGCCCCCCCCGGGCTGGGCTCCCGTTCTCTGGCTCCCTGTCCGCGTCCCGCTGGTGGTCCCCCAGCCGTAGGAGTTATTTGGAAATCTGATCCTGCTGCGGAAGGCTGAGTTATACCCGACCTCATTCCCCCTGATTTCCTGTAATCCTACCCCAGTGGGGAGGAATCTTCGTGGCTCAGCAGTGGTGGGGAGCCTTCAGACCCTCGAGCCATTCAGCTGGAGAGCAGCGCGTTGTCATCTAGGCTGGCATGCGGCGGGACCGGCCCGCGGCGCCGGACTTTTGCTCCCAACGCGGGGCCCACGTCCCTGTGCCCACGTCGCTGTGCCCGGCTGCTAGCTGCATGGAAACCGGAGGCGATGGCGCCGAGGCTGGCAGATAGGGGGCGCCGCGGGCCTCTGAGAGAGGATTTTCCTGGGATCTCTGCAGCAGCGGCCCCTTTTTTCTCTTTTCCTCCTGTGCATTTTGTTGGCTCGTTTTATCACCTGCACACCCTGCAGGTCTGACTGCCCCCGGCGCCGTTGCAGGGTCTCCTCGGGGCCTGTCGTTCTCCTCCTCCTCCTCCCCCTGCTTCGTGCTGCGGCCTTGACATCGGGGCTTCAGAGGAGCATGGCTCAGCGACTGCGCTTCCATTTCGCCACCAGGAGGAGCAACACGGACCCTCTGTCTGAGACGTGTGGCCTGCGCGGGTCGGAGTTCGGCCCCCCTGACACCTGCTCCCAGCCTGGGGGGGCCAGTGCCCCGCTGGGCTCCCCCCCAGGCTGGCAGCGCTCCGCCCTGTTCATCCCTATGCTCGGCTGCGGCGGCAAGAAGAGCACGCTGCAGATCTCGCTGCGGCAACACGGGCCGACCCGAGCGGCCCAGGGCCCAGCAAGCGGCACCGGCGCTGAGCAAGCAGACCAGGACCCAGCCAGTGATGCCGGCTACTGCAGCAGCAGCAGCATCTCGGAGGCGGAGCCGTGTGACAGGAGACCGGGCCGCGGCTCAACCCACCAGCCGCTGCGCCGCTGCACCTCCCTCGTCATCTTCCCCTGCAGCCCATGCACCACCCCTCCCACCTCCCCCCTCGGCTCTGGCCTCCAGGCCCGGTCGTGCTCCGATAGACGCGGGGCCACCGATCCAGACGGGGACCATAGCTTCAATCGGGCGGATTGGTGCCCTGGCATCACACTGCATTTTGCTCCCAATGGGAACGCCTGTCTGGAGCCCCCTCAGCGCACCCCCCAGGCTGACCCAGAGCCCCGTCTCCAACATGTAACTCTGCTCCGCAGCACATCTGTGTGCCTCCCCCCGCAGGGGCCTGCTGAGGATCCCCAGGCCAGCCGCTGGGGCGGAGAAGCCGCTGGTCAGACGGGGGCCCAGCGCTGCCCCCCTGCCCTGCAGAGGAGTGTGTCGCTGGAGATACCGCTCTCCCGCGCTTCGGGCCGTGTTACCAGGAGAAACCCACCTCTTGTCCACATCCATGTGTCCCCTCGACCAGAGGGCAGGGCCCCCAACCTCCTTAGGACAGAGCACACCAGCTACAAAAACAATCGTGCAAAGAGTTGCACGGGAGCAAACTGCAGGGTAAGCCGCGTTTCCCCGCCCGCGAGTGCATTGATGGCTGCAACAGAACCTTCTTCCTTCCTGAATGCTCAGCCTCGGAGAGCCAGACCTCCTAGATGCTGTGCAGACAGAGCTGCTAATCGCGTAAGCAGCCGATCCTCGCGTATTGTGATAATCTGTCTCTCCTTGTTATACAGACAGTGCACCTGAACGTGACAAATTAAAAAAATTGTGAAAAGACATTTATCTGACACGGAGGTTAGACGGAGTACGGCTATTTTGAGCCCCTCCCAGATTAGAATCCGATGCCCCCTCCCCCCACCATCTTCACGTTTGCAATCAGCCGGTAGCACAAGTTTTCAGCTTTCCCTTCGATTATCGCATTATCGTTTGTAATCTTACATTGTGGTCTTTTACTGTAAAGTCTGAGGAATTTGGTTCTCTGTAATGTTTATCATATAATCTGTCATATTAGGCAGTAATGTTGTTCGATATCCTGGTATCAAATTTGCATCGCGATACCAAAACTTGTAAATGGTCCGATTATGATGGCAGAATAGCATGAGATGCGTGCTGATGTCAATTTGCAGTTATTCATGTTCTGTTTAAATTAGAGGATGTAAATATTCGCCCAATAAATAAGCTATTTAATTTGATTATGATTATTCAGGAAATGATTCAAAGCATCAGAAATCTTTAATTTTGATAAATTGATTATTCTATTATTTTTCATATAATTATTTTAATTAAAGTGAAGGTTTTGTGGTGCAGATTAGCAGGATGACGTTACAGCATTTTTGTATTTTGTGGAAAACGAAAAACCTGGAGAATCTGGAATATTGATAAAATGTAAATATTGGCTAAGATTTTACCGATGCCGATATCTTGATTTTTCACGAATATTGGCTGATATGTTACCCAATGTCCCGTACATCTCTAAGGCTAACGTTACTTTTTACTTAGCTAGCAAGTTAGCCGCCACGGGGCCGTGACCATAGCTGCCGTAGCTTACAAAAAGAAAAGACGTTTTTGTGCTAAAAAACACAAATGTTTCCCAGAAGCATCATGCTGCAAAGATTCAATGATCAGCAAGGGTCAAATCCCTCGTCCTCCACTCCGGAAAATGGCCAGTAACACAAAAGATAATCACCGCCCCGCTTCCTGTGTGGGGCTTCCTGTATTTACGAACCTTCCCCTGTCCTCCTACTATGGTGGGAGTGAGCAACCTGGGGGCAGAAGTATCTTTATCTTTTAAGGAGGATTTTGTGCCCAGAAATCGATTGTAACATAAACAGGTTGAATCATTGAATCGTCACCCTGATAATCGATTCATCACAATGCATCAATGCATATTTACGCCATAGTTTAAATTCATGTTTGGCCTGACTTGCGAGTTCATTCATATCCCTTTGGCAAGAAGCAGGCCAGACTAAATACAAACGCAAATATAAGGCTAACTTTAGCACATTGCCGATGAGGTTTAGTAACAACTGAGGCCAAATTAGTATTGAATCTATGCATATTTCACAATGTATGATTCATTCATTAATTCATAAATAGGCTGGTTTATTCCAAAGCAGGATAACATTTTGAAATGGGAATGTTTTACAATATGGGTTTAGTATCAATTTCGGATTGAGGCTGCGGCACCAAAGCTGGAATTGGTGTTAAAGTCAATATTCAGCTCTATTAGGAAGGTAGTATATGCGCGATGAGCCTTAAGTGTAATGATTCAGGATCCTTATTGTCTGTGTCAGACAGGTGCATTGATGGTTTGCTTATTCAACTACACTCTGTTACAAAAAGGCCAACGACAGTACAAACAGTGCAGATACAGTCTGTGTCTCATCACTCAAGCCGCCTCACAACCGCTCTCGTCTTTGCCTGTTTGTGTGTCATGCTTCCATATTTTGCTATAAGAGTACAGGCGGAATGGTGAGTTTGTAAAGGGTGCTGTTCAGCTCCCAGGCGCTGTGGGGGGGCTGCGTGGTCTGGGGGAGGTGGCCGGGAGGCGGGGCTAAAAGGCCGCTCAGTCGCCTTTGTGCACTACGCTCTTCAGCCAGTTTTAGCCAGTTTGTCATTATTATTATTCTTATTATTATTACTATGGCATGGGGTTGCAGCTGACCACCTCGGTTAGCCGTGTCCAAGCTGACGTGGCGAAATGACTTTCGAGAGCAAAGGCGCCGCCCTTACAGCGTAATTAAAGGAATGGTAGCTCATTATTATTGTTATTCTTAACACTTGCAGTTTCAATATTTACCCTGAGATAATTATAGGCTGGGTGGGGCCCAGGCTAACTGCTATAAAAAACACAGAGGTCACCCCCGACTCCAGAGTGTCTGTACCTCCGCTGGGATTCTCAGGCCTGTGCTTTTAAATTTAACGCGGCGGTATGAGAGGGGCGTCGGTCATGCCGGCCATCTGACTGCAGGGGGCGCTGCAGGTGTGGGCAGCACGCCGGCTCGCCGAGCCCCGCCCCTCTTCCCCCAGTGCTGTTTGTGAGGCGTTGGGCTTCAGGCCTGATTGGCAGCTCGTCAGAAACTCCCCAGGAGAAGCGTTTAGCGCCCCCCCCCCCACCTCGAGAAGGTCCCGTTCTGTGAGCGTGCTGAGTCAGTGTAATGGTGCTGTGCTGTCCGGGTACCATGACTCTGTAATCCGTAAGGCGTAGCGGAGGATTCTGCCGCACGGTTGGCGATGTTCCACGTCCTGATAGAGGGATGTTTTTACTGCCCTCAGCACAGTGTTCATAGGCTTTCCCTGTGCTTTGGGGCCTTCTGTTGGATTTAGATGTTCAGTACGCTGTCTGAATGTTACATTTCAGAAAAAAGAGCTCTTACTATTGCACTTACTAACAAAACAGACAGTCAGTTCAGTGGAGGCCAACCTGTACATTTACACTGATCAGCTGGAGCATTTAAAAAAAGACAGTTAATGTGAGATTTGCATGATTTGTTTGTTATAAAGGATCATAGTCAAAAACTTGTCATAAAGGATATAAAATTAAAAATATAGAGCAGACATTTCTTCCTGCCACCAAAGGCTTAGAAACAACATTTCAGTAATTTTCAGTGTTTGCATTTGTCCTTATTTTAATTTTAAGAAGGATATCTAATCATGATTTTCATTAGAGCGGGGCCGTGATCGTGAGTAAGGTCTCCGGTTGCATCAGACAGGAATTTGAAGGTCCAGGTCCATTTGGGCCGAGCCGCGTCCAGCGTAGGCGTGCGTCTGCTGGAATCAGCTGGTCTCTTTCTTGCTTGATGGCTGTAACGCTTGGGTGCCGACCGATAGAGGGAGGTGGGAATAGATGTGGGGGCCAAAACGATTACAGGCGTTCACATTTTCCATCCCTGCTCTGCCGATCGTGATCAGTTAAGAGGCTCAGTCCAGGAGTCTGGATACAAGCAAAATAGCTTTGTTTGTTTGCTGCTTGGACAGCAAATGATGTCACAGACGTAGGAGGTCCGTTGCCCTCCGGCCCTCATCGTCCCCCTCAGAAATGTGGCCCCCTAGAAAGCCCATTAGCTCCTGACCTTCTGCACTTGGCTGGGTCCTGAGCCCAAATTAATTGCGGGATATTTTCTTCCTCATGTTTCAGTGTTTGTTTTTCCCGACAGCGTAGTTTAGCAGCATAGGCAAGAACAGGTACCCACTGTAAGTCTGCTCACTGATACCGGGCTTCGGGAGTCAGGGGGTCTGTGTCAGTCAGTAATGCGAATAGAGGCCTTTAGCATGCATGTCTGGGGCTTTTACCCAGCCACTGGCAGCCCCCTCTGCCGTATTTCTGCCCTCCGGCCTGCTTTTGCAGTTCACGGCCGGTTCATCCCCTCCTTGCCCACGTGTGATGCCCCACCCTAAGCCTTGGCAGCCCCGATGGCTGCCAATCCCAGTAGGGCGCGATCAGATGACACGGTCGGGACGACATCTTCTGGATGGATGCCTTTTGGCGGTGACCGGCATGGGATTGGGCGATACAGATAACCCCCTGGTCTCTCTTAGGCTCCTCTGTGACTTCGATACCCACAAGCCAATCAGAATCGCCGGGTGGTTTGGGCAGTCTGCACGATGGGGCCATCTGTATCTGTGCCGGTGTTTGTGTTGCCTGTACAAGGGGCAGGGAGACTGGGTGGGGGTAGGGGGCTGAGTTATATAAATCTTTTGCACCCAGTGCGTAGTGTAATTGCGGTTATTTTTGTTGTTATTTTTTTGTGCACCACCGAAGGAGACGACGACTGAGCGAGTCAGGCCTAGTCTGTTTGTTTTACCAATTACACCATGTGACAGCAACCCCCCCCCCCCCCCCCTCGCAAATTTACTGCCTCTCAGATGTCTCCCTTTCTGCTTTGCTTTCCAGACTCGAGATGACTTCCTTGGACAGGTGGACATACCTTTACATCAGGTCCCAGTGAGTCATGAGTTCCGGAATTCTTAATGCGGCTCTGCCGTTGGTTCCCAGCCAGCGTGTCAGTAGAGTGCGTCATCTCTCCGGCTGCCATGGTGACATTTATCACTGTGTGTCACTTACTAAATGAAGCCGATTTTCCTTTAAGACGTAGCGTTTAAGCGTACTGAATGATTCCCCGCAGAGAGTTGTTGTTTGTGCTGTGAAAATGTTTCCCGTTCATCACAATGTAATTACAATGGCTCACTAAAATGCTTGTCATTATGGACCGTGTTTGTGCAGAGTAAATCATTACAGGAATCACTTAGCGAAAGAATATTTCTGCCTGATGTCACGATTTTCTTCCAGACAGAAAATCCTAATGGTGAAAGGCTGTACCAGTATAAGGATTTTCTCCTTCACCCGAGGAGGTTTGCTCTGCCTCATTAGTCCTGGAGCATCTGTGTTCTCGCCTTTCCGTGTGGGTGTGCGTGCGGCATGAGTGTGTCTCTGGGACCTCTGGTTCACCCGTAACATGAGAGCATGCGGGAGCCTGTTTTGTTCTGTGCTGTCATTTGAAATCCACCAGCATGATAAATGTCTTTGCATGTTTATAGCCAGAGTGTTCAGGTTATAAATGGAAAACTGTTTGTTGTGTTTGTGTTTGTGTGGCTCCAAATGTAAGATGTATGTTTACAAACATGCATGCAGCTGTGCTACTAGTATGTTGAAGGCGATTGGCAAGGACGCCGGCGTACATGTAATGCTGGCTGCGCGTTCAGTGTGCGTTCAGTGTGCGTTCAGTTTCACTGATGTTACATATGTTCCTGCAAAGTGAATCACTGATTGTACGCTATGCTGTTTTTCTCTTGTTGACAGTCACAAATCGCGGGTCAAGGGTTTTCTGCGCCTGAAGATGACGTACCTGCCGCGCGGCTCGGCCGAGGACGACGAAACAGGGGACGCAGAGGAGCCTGATGTAGGTCTTTAGGGGACTTTTCTCACTTCCAGTCCCCCGCTTATCGTTTCAGGTGTGCTGGGGTTTTTCCGGAGGTTTGCAGGTATAGTGAGATTTAAGGGTCAGTTGGGTGGATTTGGGGGGGGGGAGGCAGGGAAAATTCTTGTGTTTGGTTCACTTCTTTGTTACTTTTGTAGCAAACCTCATTTTGGGTTTTGGTGGTATTACTAATAAAGCAGAAAATCATTCTGATTACAGAACATAAATGAAGACCCACATAAATGCATTCTCCCTGTGTTCTGGCAGATCCAGTGTCCAGTGGTAAACCTTTTTCAGTCTAGTTTTGAAGATGGGAAATACTCAATACTGAGATTCTCAGATTTTATTATGCTGCTCAGTGTTTCTAGAGAGCCGTCTGACACAGCATTGCCTTTATGTGTACGGCTTGTCTTGGCCTTTCTGAATGAGCTCTCACTCCTGCACATCACAGCGCACATCACAGCACACATCGCAGCGCACATCACAGCACGGTCCAAGGTGCAGTTAGTCTGCACTTGCTGTGCTGCTACCTACATAACCTATAAATATGGGTGTGTGCACATACATACAAACAAACAAACAAACAAACAAACAAACACAGACACACACACACACAAGCACATACACACCCACATCCAATGACGTACGTGGGTGTGTATGTGTATATTTTACCATTTGATGTTGTATATATCTCTTACCATAAGTGTTGTATAATGAAACCTTTACATGACATTCATAGTCACCCTGATATGTGGCAAATTCACACCATGCTGATTATTCCACGCTGTTTCGCAATGAAAATGTAAAACACTGACCTCTTCAGGACGAAAGGGGAATTCCTGGAAGTAGCTGTGCGCTCTCGTGCTGGGCTGCGCGCCGATTGCCAAGGCTCGGCCCACCGCCTGTACCACGACCATAGCAGTCATGCTGCCATTATGTAACTCATGTTTTATATGAAGGAGCTTATCAGCGCAGAGTGTTTAAAATATACAGATTTAAAGTGTTTGCGTTGGCAGAATAAAGGCGAAAGCAGGACGTGGCAGAGACACGTGTGGCTGCCATCTTCATCGCTGCTATATGTGGCCGTACATTTGAGTAGCGATCCTTTGTGAGGACGCAGTGTCCTCTGGAGAAGCCCCAGACTCCGCCAGTCATACTCAGGAGAAAAACTTCAACAAGATCGGTGTTAAAAGAATGGATGTCGTCTTTTGCGTGGAACCGAATGCGTTGGTGTTATTGCTGCTCCTGTGGTTGTGTGCAGCCTGGCTGGGATTCGCTGGAGGGCCAGGACATGGCTGGGCCTCAGCCCCTGCTGCCTGCGCTGCCCCCTGGCTGGGAGGAGCGGCAAGACAACCTCGGCAGGACGTACTATGTCAACCACGAGAGCAGGACGACTCAGTGGCAGAGACCCACAGCCCAGTAAGTCTCGACAGCCCCGTCCCACCCTATGTCACCCCGTCCCACGCACACCTTCATCGAGAGACACGCCGCACATGTCACAGACGGCGTCATGGCCGCCAAGTGTCACCTCGCTCCTTTTAAATCCCGTTGCCGTTTTTGATGAGGGATGAGAGATGTGTCGAGTGCCATATGGGGTGTCTCTTTAAAGCCACAACATGTCATGATAGTCGATGCCACGCTTGCGGTCGGCGTGGGACGGTCACCGAGTATGAGGGACTGTCCCTCGTATCGCTGTATAGTTTGGGTACGGGGACTCGGCCCGGGGTCTTGATTACGGGGCTGATTAATTGGTGGCGCCTGCGGTGCCCTGCTTTTCCGCCAGGGACGGGCACGAGGAGGAGGAGCGGCGGCAGACGGGCCACATGGTGGCACAGCACGCCTTCGCGGCTCGCCGGCAGATATCCGATCACGAGGAGGGCCACCAGGTTAGAGCGCCGGCCGACTGGGATGCGCCACCCTCTGGCCAAGTTTTTGGCTCATGATATTGAGGGAATGGGACACATTTTAATGAAGAAGTCCAGAAGACTCCAGGACTGCTCTTAATATACATGTGTAGGAAGCCTTTTTAGGGAAACTGTCCAGTGCCAAACCCCCCCCCCCAACCCTCGATTGATTTGTTGTACCCTGTGCCACTTTGCAGGATGCTTCTCAAGTTTAGACATTAAGTTGTATCTTGAATTTGCCCCCGTTTACGGCATCTCACAATAAACCCCATAAAGGCTCCGAATCACCTTTTATCCAATGAACTGCTAAACAGCACAGTGTTCATATCTTGTCATGAGTTTAGGGATGTGTGAAGCGTGAGTTGAGCGTTATCGCCGTCGTTCACCTGGGGGGGGGGGCACCCTGTCCACTCGGTCAGTCTCGCAGCTCTGCCCTACATTTACACAGCACAACTGGGGCGTCTCTGTGGAGGAGGAGGCCACGGTGTATGGGAAACGCGGACATCGCTCCTCCCTGCCGTCCCCGTCCCTGTTCGTGGAGCCCGGCCTGCCGGAACGCCGGCCCTCCCTGCCGGTGAGTCCTTTCCCCCCGCAGGGTCCGGGGAGCCCCCCCTCCGCAGTGTGTGATGCTGTGTAGCATCGGGAAACCCCTTTCAAAAAGGCATTCAGATTTTAGTACGGTAGTACACTGCCTGATGGTGACACATTGCGAGAATTGCATCATTAGGCGATTTTGTTGTTGTGCGAATATCGTAAATACATACACCAGTTGTTTATCCTTATTGAGAATTATATACTGTGCATAATTATATGCGCCGTACTTTTACACGACTGGCAGTGCAGTAGGTTTGTTCACATCAGCGTCACCACAAACGCGAGAGTAATGCGCTATGCTACGACGTTACCACGGCTACGACGTCACTAGGCGTTAGGAATTTTTCAGCTCCATTAAAATCCTATGGGACCACCGTCGTACACGCGGCATCACTATGCAGCACGTGACTGTAATATAACAGATTTATCATTCAAAGAAATTCAAATATTAATTATACATTATACTACAGACCCAGCCCACAATCACGATCCAGCTTAAGCCCGTTGTGTGCGAACAACCGCGAATCAGAGAAACCTGTCGCCTGCTGCTGTCTTAAGTGGGAAAAATGATAAGGGGACAATAATTTATAGTAACACATTTTTATTTATTAAACTTACCCACAGGACCAAAATGAGATTTTGTAACATGAAATTAAAATACCAAATGATTGATGCTAGACATCTGATATGGGGGTATGTACATTAAAATATCTTAAAACGTAAACAAATGAAAAAGGCTACCATTTCGTTTAGGCTGCGTCTAACTAGGCTTACCGCCATAACCCAAGTATCCTAGGTATTATATCGTGGTATTTTGTGTTTTGACAGTTTTATCAGCATGGATGGGGTCTGCAGGATAAAGCTCTAAACCTCGATTCCAAATCCAGGCCTTGTTTTCAGTTCTCCCAGGTAGTTAGTTTAATAATTACTGATTCTGATTGGTCAGAGGCTTCACACCTGGCTCACAGGTAAAGGAAGGCTGGAAAATCAGCAGCGCTCGGACCTCGAGGACCGTGATTTGAATAATAGGGCACTAAACAGATCCCCGATGGCTCTTCTCAGGTTTTTGGGAGTTAGCGTTTCGCTGCATTCTTCTCCTGATTGACGCATGATTTCACTAGCTTCCTTGCTGGATAGTTTCAGCCATTCTGGTTTGCTGAATTAATTTACGGCAGTCTGCCCCCTAGTGGCAGATCCTGCATTCTATGTTAAGCAACGAGGGCCATTAGGCAAAACACAAATGAGCAATCTTCAAAATTCAAGCCATTTAATATGTAAATATTTTTAGAATTTTTGAATTTTATGTGAATGACAGAGTTCGACCTCCCAAGCTGACTGCTGATCTGACTAAATGCTGCGTAACCTTCCTCTTGCTGTCCCGTTACCCTGTGGCTGCCTTTTATTATTATGGTCTGTATGCCCCAACCCCACATCATGGGCCTGAGCCTTTGCTCCTGGTCATCTCAGACAAGCAAGTCCTGTGATCAGCGTCCCGTGATCAGCGTCCCGTGATCAGCGTCCCGTGATCAGCGTCCTTCTCAGGCTGGTCTTCTGCGCTTGAGTCACAGTGTCCTTATGAGGGATCTTTTTCCTCCAGTTTCTGCCCGCCCCTGTGGGGCTGCTCCCCGGCTGGGAGGAAAAGCAGGACAGCCAAGGGCGGCTTTACTATGTCAATCACACCAGCAGGACCAGCACCTGGAACCACCCTGTTACACAGGAGGCTATTGGCTTCTCCGTGAGTGTGTTTGCCTGTCCAGGACACTGTGTGGCGCTATAACCACATAACCTGCAGACCGCATATCGTCGCTGTAGAATGAAAAACACGTATCTCCAAAAGTCCATTATTTCAGGAGTGTGAACAAAACGCATTGTCTCAAAAATTACAAAATAAACCTAAAGCAGCCTAATGAGACCCCCTTAGCACCACAAAGAGAAACCCACCCATCTGCAGCTGTCAGGGAAGGGTTTCATGTTTTTAAAGGGACTCCCGTGGATCACTGTCAGCAAATGTTTTAGTGTCAACAAGATACAAGCTCAACTCGCTTTATATTCACAATTAACAATGATGTTTGTTAGCTAGCTATGTAGCTATAACTGTTAAGTTGTTAAAATTAGCGATATAAAGTAACCCATACAAACGAACAGCATGAATATAAACATAAAGCCTGGTTAAACATCTTTTCATTAGTCAGCGTCAAACACGCTCAGGAGACAGAATGGGCATGTTCAATCTACAGTAAAAAGTCATAATCGTACGTTCCATCTACAGTAAAAAGTCATAATCGTACGTTCCATCTACAGTAAAAAGTCATAATCGTACGTTCCATCTACAGTAAAAAGTCATAATCGTATGTTCCATCTACAGTAAAAAGTGTGGTTTTTGGTGGCCAGCAACAGTATCCTGTACATGTACAACCTGACATGTACAACCTGAAAGTGAGTCAGACGCTGGGTTATGCGGCACTAAGCGGCACGCCCCACGCTCCCACCCCCCCCAACAGGCGGTCACAGATATGGATGCAGCCGGGACTCCCCATGCCTCCCCGGGGTCGCTGTTCCCGCAGCTGTCTCCAGAGGGGGCGCCGCCGCGCTCGTCTGAGCCCGGGCCCCCGCTGAGTTTTATGCCCTCAGGCTGGGAAATCCGCACTACTCCGGATGGACGGCCCTTCTTCATCGACCACAACTCCAGGACCACCACCTGGGTGAGGTGCTCCGGGGCTGCTGCAGAAGGGGGGTTCGGGGAGAGATCGTTTGGGGATTAGGGCTCTGTACTGGGCTTCTGCCGGCGTGCTGGCTGCTGATTCTTGTCTCTCTGACTAACAGGAAGATCCCAGACTGAAAATCCCGGCGCACATGAGGCGGCGACCTATGCTCGACCCCTCTGACCTTGGGCCGCTCCCAGTAAGTAACCCTCTCAAGGCCTTGGGGGGAGGGGGGGGACAGGCTGTGCTAATCGGCCGCTGTTATAGTTCGGCATGACAGTAGCCCTCTGGTGGCTGAACACGGTAATACAGGGTCACTGTCACCATACGTGTGATGTAAGCTGGTGGCAAACATTCACTAATAAACCGGAGAATAAGAAGCTGCTCAATTCTTCTGAATGGTGTGAGGCTCAGTCGGTTAGGGTACTGTTCCTGTAATCAGAAGGTTGCAAGTTCACATCCCAGACTCGGCAGAGTGATGTCACTGTTGGGCCCTCAAGCAAGGGCCCTACTCCAGGAACTGACTGACCCTTCTTTCGCTAAAATTGTATGTAAAAGCATCTGCCAGATTAACATTATTAGAGATGGATCGATTGGCCATCAGTTGGTATCCGCCGATTCTCATGAAAAATGAGTAATTGGCCGTCGGCAGATATTTGTTTTGTTGTGCAGATATTGAACAGCGATTAACGTGATGCAGTTTCCAAGAACATGTCTTCTGTATGGCAAGATTTAAAAATATCTGATGTGGATAAGAAGCCAGCTTGCCTCGAGTGGGGACTAGTGCAGAACGGTTTGCTATGATTAAATGGATGAGGCACTTAAAGGAGTTCGGTGAATATGAGAGGCTAATGGAGTTAGCATAGACAGCTAAAACAAATCCAGCAACCGGTCGTTATGTAGTGCAAGGTACAGCAGCAACAGCACAAAAGCGAAAGGAATCGCAGCCAGCATAAGCTGCACAGCCCGTGGCTGTTCATTCTGCACAGCCCGTGGCTGTTCATTCTGCACAGCCCGTGGCTGTTCATTCTGCACAGCCCGTGGCT